AACTTTGGCTTCACAAAAAATAACCCCCATAATATTTAAAAATTTAAAATTAACCCTTACACCTATCATTTTTTATCAACTTTTCGTTCTCGTTGATTTCAAAGTTAACTTTAATAGAAACTGACATGTCACTTTGAGTAAGAACATTTGGCAATCGATATGGAATTTCAGGTATTTACGCTCCACACAACACACAGCTTCATCCAAGTGCCATCCTGTCATTTTGCTAAGCAATCCCTAGTTCTTCTTGCCTGCAGCCATTATCTTCATCTCTCATAGAGAATGCAATATGGTGTTCGTCTCTCATTAAATCGCATAACAACAATTTATAGAAAAATATTGTAGCAGTGCTATTAAAATGATAAAGCCAAACATTATGTGCCTCAAATTTAAATGAATCAATCACTGCGAGCCTCATAAGCCTATTTCAAACTCCCATTTGTTCATTGCTTCCAGATAGAGATAAGGATGGCTTTGGTAAGAGAAAATTAGGATTCATTTGGAGGATGTCAATTGATAAAATGAGTAAAACCTATACATTCTGAGCAACATTAAAATTAATGAAACACTAGATATCCCATGTCATCCCCAGTATTTTTTTCTTAGTCTGATATGGCATTTGCTGTTACATTTAACAGTCATTTTGACGGTAAGGTGTTGGTGGTCATGATTTAAAAGGTACGGATGTTAATTTTTAACTTTTAAAGATTAGGGGTGCTAGATCAAAATGATGGAAGTTGAGGGACGTTTTGAATATTTTAGCCAAAAAATAAATACACTGATCCAGATATATGTGTGTGTTCGTATTCCGTGTCTACCTGGACTGTTGGAGTTAAGTGGCCACTGTCAACTCCGTTTTTATCACGCTTATGAAAATAAATTTTCATGTGATACCTTTCTTGCTTACATTTTTTTCTTACTTACATTATTCTTTGTGGTAAAAAAAATTACATAAATCCTATAAACAAAAAAAAAATTACTTAAACACTACACCATGAAAAGTATTTATCCAAATGCTATATTAAAAATTATTCAAACTGAAAACAAGTTTATATTTGTGAAAAACTCATCCAAATCAAGAACAATTTTGCAGTCAAAAATTATTACTTTTTAAAGAAAAGCAAGATTATTCATGTAGTAAATGAGTTTAACTCTTTTTTACTGATAAGACATAATATTATTCTACTTTCTCTCAATTTACTTTACCAACAGTTGAGTTGTCCCATTCACAAATTTCTCGAGATAGACTAAGCAAGCGGCATAATGGCTACTTGTTAATCCAACTATCAATTGAAAATAAAAATGTAAGGGAACAAGAGTTTTAAAATTACAGTTGATCTCATTACATGACGACCCTATCATTGTAATCATCCATGCATTTACACTTCTCTCAAATCTACCCAATTCAATTCTCATTATATGCCACCCTCATCATCTCATCATTATCTCTTTTCAACTCACCCACCCATACTTCTATTTTTGAACAATCCAACCAGTGCTGAATCATTAAGTATCATGACCAATCCAAATACTCTGGCATGTAATGAGATTGACTAAAATTTGAAGGCTTTTATTTTCCTACATTTTCATATTCAATTGGTGGTTGGATAGATAAGTAATCATCATGTCACTTGTTCAATCTATTTCAAGAAATTTGTGGACAAGGCAATTCAACTTTTAATAGAGCAGGTTAAGGAAAAGTAAATTAAAAAATTTTATGTCTTGTCAATCAAAAAAAGTTGAACTTGTTCATCGAGAGGACGATTTCATTTTTTATTAAAAGAATAATTTTTGGCCGGAAAATTAATCTTGACTTAAATGATTTTTTCACAATTATAAATTCATCCCCGATTTGAAAGATTTTTGATATAATATTTGGGTAAATACTTTTTTATGGTGCAACATTTAAGTAGTTTTTTTTTTATTGTTTGTAGCATATTGATAAAAAAGCCATCAATAAATCATTCATGTATTGCCCAAGCTGGGTGATGCAATGTTGTTACTCAAGCAGGGCATCAAACATGATGGATTGGATTTGAAGACATGGATGACCTGGCCTGTACATTTGAAAATATTCTAAAGGAAGAAAAATCCACCAATGTATCAGTATAAAATTTATAAATAATCATACTATCTATGAAACAAATAAGTCCATAGATATACGTATTATTATTATTATTATTATTATTATTATTTACAAATCCTTTTGATTAGTTTATGTTAGACTGGGGTTCAATGCTTTCTTTTTAACAGAAAATACAGAATGTGGTCTTCTAAGGTTTTTTCTCTGTAGCTTGGCGACTGGTTCGCTCTTCTTGTTTTCTTTATGCTCTTGTCTTCTTTTGTTTCTGTTCCTTTTTTGATCATTCGTGTGTCTCTTATGCTGTGGTTTGCCATGTTTCTTCCTTCTGCTTGTCGGTCTCACATCTAGTTCTGTCGCCGACATTTCCTCATCTTTCATATGTTCGATAATAAACCTCTTCATGTCTCCAATCTTCCTTTGCTTTTACGTTCTCACTGGCATCTCTTTGGTCAGGTTAAAATTGTTCAGTCTTTGGGCCCATTTTTTATTGTGTATTTTAGTTCAGTTTCTGATCTTTCTTTTATTCTCAACCGTGGTGTTTGGTTATTTAATGGTTTCTCTGTCTTTGTTTCTCGATCGTTTGAAGATTTCAACTTCTCAACTCCTCCTCCTCCTCCTCCTCCTTTTCATGTTTGGATTAGAGTCTGTTCTCCCTTTGTCTTTTCACTCTGAGTCTATCGCGTCTTTCACAGATAATGAATTAGGTGTCTTTGTCTCCTTTGGTTGTTTGAGCCTTTGTTCTAATATTAGTTTAGGTTTCGTATTTCCGTCACTGATTTCTTTTCCCTCCCTTCGCATCTTACCTTATTTTCTCCAGAGGGTCAAGCCATAGTGATCTCTGTTTTCAATGAGAATGTAGGCCGCCTTTGTTCACAATGTTTACATGTCATCCATTGTTTCTCGCGTTGCACGTCAAGTTCTTCTCGGAAGGATATTCGGGTTACTTTCTCCGGATCGGGTCGCTCCAGAACATCCTATGCTTGTTGGGCTGGATCGAGTTACAAGTTGGGCTTGGTTTCGGGTGTCCCCTTGCAGCCTTCAAATCATGGGTCTTCGGATTTCAACTCCTCTCATCAATCTTTCGGTTCTTCAGACTCGACGATAAGTGGCAACCTGCATGAATCAATTGAGGTGTTTGATTCTTCTTCAATCACGATGAAACGGAAGGCTTTAGAAGTTGACTTTCTGAGAGGGGAAGAGTTTGCTCTTTCTTTCAAACCACCGAAGGAGTATACTCATGATTACTCTGTCTTATCATTTAATCATACAGCTTCTGTCATAACCATCACTGCATTATTTTCCACCTGGCTTAGAGTTCATTTGAAGTATTGGAAAAGGTGTCAATTTACCGAGGGCACTCGTCTCTGTTCACGCTTATGGCTCAGGGATTTCTCTTGGTCTAGTCATTCCAGTGGCTCAGAGTCCACTTACGGTCTCGAAACTTTAGTTGCTACAAGAAAATGGAAGGTTGGGTTGCGGTGGTTCGACTCCCTCTATATTGACGACTTCTCCTTTAGTGGGTTTCATCCTATGCCCTACTCTCATGACGGCACCCACTGAATCTTGTAACTTTGAAGCTTTTAATGAGCATGCTTTTAATTTGCTTCTGCATAACTGGCGTTCCTCAGGCTTCCATTGGCTACTTGTTCTTGATGGTGATAGAACGTTCATACTTCTCAACGTTACGTGAAATTAGCGTTCATTTCGTTTCGTTGCGATAGAACGTTCTAATGTGCGTTTAGGATATATGGCATGGATGGAGCCTCGATATGATTGGTTCAGGTGGATATACTCCCTGGTTCGCATGCATGAGTTATATGAACAAAGGTGGGAGTCTCTCCAAGCTGCAGGTACAGTAAACTACCTTCCAGCTTTATCTTTCATGGACGACCTGCGTCAACTTTATCCTGATCTTCGCGTTTCATATCCGGCGACTCCTACTGAGGCTTTGCTCATCCACAATCGCCAAATAGAGACTCATCTCCGTGTAAGACCTCTGGTGGATTTGAGTGATGCTCACTGGCCTGGGTTAGATACAGGGGGTCCTTGTGTTCCCTCAGATGATGCATCAGGTCTGCCTAACTCTTCCATGGATGGGCAGGGACGTCGTACTCGTCCACGCATGAAGCAAAATGGTGGTGCGACAGATTCCTTGCCTAATGGTTCTGATCTTGGAAATGGTTTTGCGAGCTTTTCCATCAAAAAGGCTCACTACACCATATGAATACGAAGATGATTGAGGAACAAAAAATGGATTGTGTTTTGCTTCTCAAATTTTCACAAGGCTACCCTTTGCTGTCGTTATATTTTCTGGTTAGTTGGTTTACTGTTTTGCAGTCCCTATCCCATCTCTTCTGGCTACTTGTGGAGCAGTGGTCCATGGACCACTAGTTCAGAGAATCTGACTTTTGCCTTGTTGCCATTGCATCGAGAGTTTTTCACTCTCTGGTCAATGCCCTTGTGGTACCCACTTTCTTGAAGACGGTTCTTAATTGGTTTGGAGGATGCTCTCATCTTGTGCGCAAAGGTCTTCAATTCGTCAGTCTTCTCCTTCCTCGGTTGGTGTTTGGGTTGCAGGGATCTCTCCATCAGCTTTGTGCCGTGGAGTTGTTATTTGCTTTCTGTTATTTTTGCTTCTTTAGTGCTGGATTAGTTATGTTTTCAGTTGGCTTGCTTTTCTGACCCAATCCCTTGAGTGGCCCTTTTTGAAAAATATGTACTAACCTTTTATTAATGAATAAATTGTCTTTTTTGAAGGAAAAAAAAGAAAAGAAAATACATAATGCTGTGGTTTTTTTTTTTTTAAACGTTTTGATGCATGGAACTGTTTTTCGGTAAAGTAAAATACCAAAATTATATTATTAACATTCTTAACTAAAATTTTGGAGTCTTCCTTTGAGAAGAGAAATCATTAAATCAACCTCTGGAATAAAAATGGAATCGAGGAATATTTTGGAGATCTCTTTTCGCTTCGGAGCCAACCTCTGGTCGTTCGTACGAATATTTGATCGCACGCTGGAACGAAACTGAAAAACGTCGCGTTTCCCTCTGCCGTTTTGGCCGCACGACTTCAGGTGGAGTTTCATGCGACGCAATCATGCATTCATGTCTCTTCTACAGCCTGAAGATGGGGAGAATCTGGGAATAATTCCTTTTACTCTTCAACAAGAATCTACGAAATACCTATTTTGATGCTGTAGAAGACCCTCAACGAAAGCCATACTAGGTCCTCATTTTTTCCATCGCTTGTATCTTTCATTTCCAGACCAAACTGCCTATAGAAAGAAACTGGGTGATCAGCAAAGAGTTATCGCAGCCCGGACAGAAATGGCGAATCTCAAAGACCCAAATTTTACGGAAAACGAAAAAGGTTCGATTTCCTTCACCGACTTCCCTGAAGATGTCCAGTTTTGTATTCTCTCCTTCCTCACGCCATCTGAAATCGCCATCTTCGCCTGCACATCGAAGCGATTCGGCTCCCTGTGTAGTAACGATAGCAAACTCTGGTTTAGCCTGTGCGAAAGGAAGTGGGGTTCGAAGACGCAGATCGCGAAATGGGGCAATGGGAAAATCGGCTACCGCCTCCTGTACAAAACCCTCGACGAATGGGAGAATTTAATCGGCTTTTGGCGTCGAAGTGGACCAGGAAGCATCGCTATTGCATCCCCGTCGCTGGTTATCTTCGAGTGGGGCTCATCGTTTGTCGCCGGTTCCAGAGTTTCTCCGTCGAAAACTGGTACCTATGATATATTAAAGTCGCAATTTTTGCGGATGAGTCTATCGTCGGAGGGACAGGTTGTGAATTTTCTCGATCCCGACGGGCAAGCTGAAATGCCCGGTGATTTTGCGATTTCTGAGCTATTCGACTGGCCTGATAATGAACTGATTCCGGTCAATGTTAGTTTTATGGGGAAAACGCACTTTGTTGTGGAGGAAAATCAAAACTCTATCCATTTCAACTGTCCAGACCAAAGGAAACACGGATTCAGGAGAAGTTCGAGCAGCACGAATCTGAGTTCAGACGATTGCTATGTTGGAGAAGATGTGATTGGTGCCGAAAGTGGATCACCGGGAAGCCTACCAGACAGATTGGTGTCAGACATTTATCAGCGTTTCGCTAACAGGACAAGCCCAGGTAGTGATAAATCGAGGAAACAAAGGAGGAAAGAGAAGGAAAGGCTAGCCAGAAGGAAATGGGAGCCTGAGCATTTCGTGAAGATTGTTAATTGTTCTCCCACTCCATCACGCCCATTGCAAGGCCTATGGAAGGTGTTGAACTTGTCATTCAACTTGCTATGCTCATTGAGTTTTCGTATTGATCTTATATATTGCTCTGATGTCTGTCATCTGATATCATTGTGTGGTCGATCCGTTTATGGAGAATATACATTTGAGTCACATATAGTTCACTCTTGTCATTTCAACCCTGGAATAAGTTTAGAGTGGAAGGCAAATGTAAAAAGAACAAATGATTCGGTGTGGGTGTTTTTTTTTTTTTTTTAGAATCTCATTGCCTGCATAGAGTCCCTCCAATGTAAGATATAGACTATTTAAAATGTCTTGAGGGGATGCAACCATAATATCGAGTTCATGCAAACGCAATTTGCAAATCATATCATTATAGTGATGAAGGTTTTTAAGTAGAAGTCCACTGTCCATCTCTCTTTTCATTTCCTTTTTTAAGTGAATCATTGAAAAACAGATGATGCCCGTGGTATGACAACTAAAATTGGTCTCTTTGATACCAATCTGCAGGGTATTTGTTGTGACATGAGTTTAGCCTTTTATCTTGTGGTATATGATGACATTGGGGGTGTTGCTTGTCGGCAAATTGGGAATCCTCCGGAACAATTTCCCAGTCATTACCTGGTTTTCTGGACAACAAATACTTCATTTATAGAATCTCCTTTCTCCCCTGAGGAGGAGTATTTATATGACACTCGCATTCATCTCAGGCCACTTGAAGCAGCCAGTGAGATTCACCAGCACTTCCCTTTGACAGAAAATGGAGTGGTAAATGGGATTCTCCACATAAGCTCAAGTTATGACTTGATTATTCCAGACCTGGCTGGAACAGTAAATCCTAGGAATGCAGAGGGGAGGATTTGGCGGTACCAGAATGGTACTTTTGGATTTGGCTTCCTTCGGGACAATTTTATAATAGACCTGAAGCGTATTGCCTATGATGACTGTATTTAGTGTAATTTCCTTGTTCTGCATAGGTCTTTAAGCATTGATTATTCATTCATCCGGATGCCACCACACCCCATGGCATAGTGTTTTATTCCCTGTGAATTTATTTTATGATAATGACAACCGAGGCAATTTCTTCAGCTGAGACTGGTTGTCTAGTGCCACATTAAGTGCCACATTATTTCTTTTTCCTGTGTTTAGGACTGAATGTTTCAGATATCTTCTGTCTTTCTACGTGATTGACACTGCTTTATCTGAATGGCTGTATATTTCTTCACGGATGATCTAACAGTGAGGTCACATAATTTACTTCATTAATAATTGATTCATTAGTTACTTGCTGTCCTCCCTCTGGTGCCGATGTGTTGTTTATCCCACAAGCTGAGCATTGTAATTGTTAAGAGCATGTCGTTTTTAACATCCACGAGCACTGAAATTGATTATTTTCTCATCTTCTGTCTCTTCCCTCTCATCTGATTTCCCCCGCCCCCCATTTCGTTCGAGTGGTTTTAGTTCTGTCGAAAGGAAAATGAGCTTTTGAATTGTTGTCGAGTCACTCTCATGAGTGCAAATGTGCGTTCGAATGAGGGAATAGAAACTTGATCATATCACATATAGTAAGTAAACTGGGGAGACGAATGATAAGAGAGACGGAAATAAATGAGTTTGTACTGAAGTACGTAGTCTGAATCACGTTAATCGAATCAAATGCTCTTGACATTGTGGTATCACCAAACTCACAACGGAATCCAAAAGCAAATTATGAAGATCCATCCACACACATGAACTGGAAACAGAGGAATACAATATCAGCTGCGGGCAAAAAGCTTGCCGGACTCAAAGTAAGTGGTAAAAAACAGAAACATGGGCAAAAGGGGCAGAGAATATAGGAAATTGAACAAGGGCATATCCTCTGATCTTGTCAACGACCTCGTGTCTAGGCACTAGGCAGCAACTTCTTCCCCATTGATCTGGTCATGTGTTTCATTCTTGTCATGGTCACCTTCAAGCTGGCTCAAGTTTCCCTTCTCCTTGATCAGTTGGATATGGTGGTGTTTGCAGTACAGTTTACCCTCGTGCGCAATGTAGTTCGAAGGACTTATAACACATCCTCCATGGCAGCATTTGAAACAGCTCTTGTGGTAAGGAGTCCCATTTACAGTAACCTATAGTTAAAAAAACAAGTAGTTTTGACCTCAGCATCAGTGATTTAAATTACAGGAAGCCAATGAATTGTGTGGCAATGGATGCTTTGTACTCAATGAGTTACCTTCTCAGTTGGGTAGACTGTTTTCTGACAACCAGTACATTTATCTCTGGTTCCACCAAACATGCTTGTGACTTTGGTTACTGCAGGTTTCTGGTTTAATGGCTCAACAATTAGATGGATGCTAGAACGTTGAAATTATTCTTTGGTGCAATACTAATAACCTCAGAATTAAGGTTTTTTACCTCACTGTCAATGTGTTTTTCTGGTTTTGCAATTTTCGGTGTCCCTAATCAGGCAAAAGGAAGTAAGGTTGATTGAGTTATCGAGGGAAAACACACACACACACGCACACACACACACACACACATAGGTAAACTAAATGATTGGAGCGTTTGATCCTTTGTTACCTTCGAAGCTTTTGTCAAGACTACCAGTTCTTTTGAACAATTGGTCGAAGTGTGGCTTGCAGTAAAGAACTCCCTCGAAAGAATTATAATTGCTAAGCTGCAAAATACATTGATCAGTTGGTAAAATTACAGAACATGCCATATAGTTACTGCCTAGAGAGCATCTTAGGAAACAACAGAAACTGATTCCAATATCATGCGCTCATCATATGACTAAAAAAGTAGAAATTGAAAGGTTGCTACTTCGAGTTACAGCAATGTGTAAAGTGAAAAACAGAACATCCGGAAGAGGGCAAGGAATCAGATCTGTTAAAATGTAAGCCACAAGAACAACTGGATTCTCCGTTGGTTTGGGTGAAAATTGGATAATAGAAGTAAAATACTCAGATTTTCCAATATTTGGATAAAATTTCCGGGTACGAGACTAGATAAAATGTTTCCCTCTTTGAATTCATGGCTTGATCTACGATTCTTTAGCATCAAATCCTGATGTGCTTTGGGAACGAAAATTTCTTCTAGATACAAACCAGAGGTAATCGGAAACATAGAAGATGAAATGACACAATGAACTGATAGAAGTTCTGGCGTTAGTTGTCCTGGGATGAAAAAGCCTTATTCTAAAGCACCATAGAATTGAATTAAAGTGGAAAAGGTGATGTAATTCGCTGTGGTGATTCGAGCCAATCTATCTGCATTATTCAGATTATCAACTTTAGACACCAGATCCAATCCCAGAAACTGGAATTGGAGACTGCAACTAAGAAGAAGTACATATGCATAGTCTCAGATAAAATCAGAGATAGATAGAGACCTTGAGAGTTCCTTTGCAGTGGTGGCATCGGAAGCAAGCTTTATGGTACACTCGGTTATCTGCTGTTAATTTATCAACCAGATAAACTGTTTTGTCACAAGCCATACACTTCTGGGTTGTTCCTGCAAACGCCATACTTTCTTATCCTTTCCTCTGTCAAGCTCTCACCCCTACCCAGAAGAAGCAAGCAGCTGATTCTCTGAATATCTGAGTTTCTGTTTTCAACAGAGCAATGAAGATGAGCTGAGAAAAGAGAATTACAAATGTGTCCAGCAGATAATTGCGGAGACCAAAAGCACACCTGTTAACAAATATTATGTCACTAACAATCATTCTGTCCTAATTTTATGCACCTAACTACAGTTTTCTCCCAGATATTTTATCTTTCTTTCACTGTCTCTAACTGTGAGGATGAATGAGTAAATTGTAAGAAATATAAAGTAGCTCGGGGCCGGCAAAACAAAGGGCAAGAAATACCGTGTAATATTGCAACTTTTACGATTGTTAATGCCTAACTAGCATTGCTTTTTTATGGCATGACCCTGACAATTTGGTTTTGTAATTGACTAATTGTTATATCCTGATCTTCTAATTGTAAATTACAAGTACCAAGTGAGCGTAAAAATGAGAGCGATTAGATATTTTGGACCAATCAATATGTATTGCTTTAGAAAGCCACTTTGTGCTTGGGAGGTCCCATATCTCCAAATGGCAACTGTCAGCTCTTCATCATTTAACAGCCAGCTGGCCTGCTTTCATTCTCAAATCTCGCTTTTCCGATGATAGCACCTAACCCATTTATTTTCTTCAGTTACAAGGATTGAGAAATTCCATTTAAGCCTCTGAGGCCATCACAGACTAAAAAAAACATCTTTATTGCAATCACAACCTCTAACAGGCAAACGCTGTGTTAAAGCTGGATGGGGCTGTAAACTTGGCAGCTTTTGTTCAAGAAAACATTAAAAGGAAGAACTTTCAGATGAACGAAATTAAATTACGGAGATCTTGTAATGATGGTCGTGCCAGTGAATTGGCATTCTTCCATCAAACTTCAATTATGATGACAGCTCGCATTTAGTCCACGACTGTCCCACTGTGCAGTGGTCAACTTTTCTAGATCGATAATTTTTTTAATTGTCACCCAATTGCAGACGGGCATTTGGTCTAGTGGTATGATTCTCGCTTTGGGTGCGAGAGGTCCCGAGTTCGATTCTCGGAATGCCCCATTTTGTCCTCCTTTTTTATCTTTTGGCAAACTGTGGCCGGTGGAAATGTTCAGAAGAAGTCAGCGTCAGCACTCAGTGGAACATGTGAAAACCAGTGAGCATAAATTATGAAGTTGACTTTTGGATTGTCCATGAAATTAAAGGACGCCCTGTTGTTTTGACCACGGCGGGTTTACTTGAGTTTTAATATATAGCCAATCTCTGATATTCGTCATATATAAATAAACATATGTAGTCAAGGCTCCTTGGCACGCAAGGAAATTAAGTTATAGTTTGCTTCAACCACATGAAACTTCATCTCATAGATGACTCGCTCAAAAAGAAGGGACACTAAACAATTGTTGAATTGTTTCTCTTCTTTTCTTTTTCTCATATTAAGGTCAAAGGGACAAACCAAGAGTCTCATAATTTCACATTCTCATCAGCGGCGACCCCAATCTATATTCTCTCTATATGCTCTTGAAGAGAATGTATTGAGATTTACTTATAAAAATTAATCTAGTTACTAAAAATTTGGTTCATATTTTATAAAATTGTAAGACTAGATCTTGTTGTTGTTATGAAGAATTTGTTAAGTACTTTTAGCAGCGTTCTTCGAATCTGGACACATGCATTGATATTAGTAAATTTTTGAGACTCAACTCAATAAAAAATAATTTATTTATATATGTATATATAAAAGAATGTTGGCTGAGATGTAATATAATATTAACATACTTGGAAATCAAGTATTCTCATTACAGTTTTATTCAGTTATTCTGACTATTTCAAGTAGACTTTCTAATTTCTGCGAAGGAATTTTAGAAGACCATTAACTTTTGAGTTTTTACTATGCGAAGCTGCAGCTTAAATAATGAAGTCTTACCAATTATTCCTTAGAATAGATATTGGATTTTTACTATGATTGCAAAAAGCGAAGACCATTGCAGAACGTTATATATCCTATAGCATATCATAATACAGGAAAGGGTCTCTTAGAGTTTCTGGTCAAAGCTTCTGTGCTATAAGGAAGGATACGCGCGTGTCATCGATTTACTCTCGAGGATTCGGTCAGTGCATGCATGTGCTCGAAAAGTTCCTACTTTGACTCATGAAAATTTACTATACAACTATATTTACGAAAAAATTTAAATGGTCTTTCTTATTGTATTTGTAACTTTTAATAAAATCATCATAAATAGGACAACACATGAAGATGAAATATAAAATTTATAAGAAGCCATTTAGTTTAATGCTGTCACATGTATGCGCAAATCAATATCATATGGTAATTCTTGAGAAATTATATTTTTATTGAAAAGTTCCTTAAAAATTCCCAACGCCACTGGCTAGTGGCTGGGAGAGCTAATTTGTTAAAGGTTTTTTTTTTTTTTCAAAACAATGCAAATGTCAAAATAAACATTCCGAGTTATAAAAATACGAAAAACAAAAAAAGTCATGTGATATAATTAAGGTCAATCCGTCAATGAATCTTATTTACTCAAAACATATTATAGGCTAATAATTAATAACTTTTATCTAATTAATATTACCTTGTCTGAAAAGAAAATCCAAAATTTTTTGTTTGAAAGATCATATAGGAATAATATGGACTCTTGCTATGCCTTGACAATATATACGTAAGAGTTTGCTCCTAATTTGAAAGTAAAATGATGGTTGGGAGATGTATGGAGAAGATGATGATTATTTGTAGAATGGATATTATATTGTTGTAGTACTATTAAAATAATTATTATTACTATCTTCTTATAAATAATTTCAACTATCATGTTTTTAAAATTAAATTAATTTTAAAAAATGATTCCAGTAATTTCTTGTCTCTTTTTAAGTTAATTGCGCTTTCTTCTTTAAATCACACATTTCGCTATTGTAAAGGCATTAGATAAAATAGTTATTTCTCGCCATCATAAATGTAGGCGGAGATGCCTCTATGAAGAGCAAAAGAAATAGAGATGAAAAAGAAAGTTGTACGTTTCGTCTTCAATATGTGAGCAATATTTTCTTCTAAGCTTAATTTATCACCACATATTTCAATCTTTAGTTGCAAGTTGGATTAATGATGAATTTCCTTCCAAATACAATAAAAACCTTTGAATATGGTTTGCACTTCCAATACTTAAGCCAAGATGATTTTCATAAAGTGATGATTTAACTTTATTTCTAGTATGCTCAAAGAATAAAGGCAATTAGTTTCAATAGATGGATGTTCAAAATAAGTGATGGTGAGAAATATTTATAGATATTGAAATGATGCCCTAAAGTAATATCTTTTAAATAATAAAACTCTCTTTAAAAGTTATTATCAATGTTAGTTCATAACCCTTATATTGATTCATAAATAATTTATGTTAATTTATAAACAACGTTATGTTAATTCACAAACATTCCTATATTAGTTTATGAACTTACATAATTTATTAATTAATATTAACTAAGGATTATTTATTATAAGTTTTCATGAAAAGAAACATTCTTTTAATACATAAAATTTTCCTGAAGTACATTTCTTTTCACCAAGTGACACTTTTTAGATTTATAAAACTCCATAGGTGCTTTTAGAATTTAGAAAGATATGACCTTGATGGCTACAACTCTCGACATAATCATTCATAAAAAAACTCTTAAATGTATAAGGATAAAACTCCTTAATTTATAAGGACATACTTCTTTAAAAAGAGATCTTTTCATTTTAAAAATATTACAACAATATCTATATATATGTAATATAATTTGTAAAAATAGTGACTCTTCTTATTAATTCTAATATATGATATATCTATACAAGGGGAAAATATCTATCAAGATGTATCAGAGAATAAAACAAAAATCTATTAAAGAATAAAATAATAATAAAAAATAAAATAGTTATAACCACCCCAACTATACAAAATAATATATATATATAATAAAAAATAAAAAATATAATATTACTCTATGTTATTCCCACAAGTTGGAGAATCGTATGTTATTCATATCCAACTTAGATAGGAGATCATTGAAAGGACCATCTCCAAGAAGCTTAGTGTAGATGTCAACAATTTGATCCTCTGAACAAATAGGAAGCAAATGGATGATGCCAATTTGAAGTTTATCATGAGTAAAATGACAACACAACTTGATATACTTAGTACACTCATAAAAAATAAGATTAAAGAAAATATAAAGAGTAGGTTGATTATCACAAAAGATTAGTGCAGGAGAAAGAAGAGAGATAAAAAAAATAAAAGTCTTGTAACAAAAAAAAATAACCATTATAACTCGTGAATCACAGAAGTGATGGCATGATATTCAACTTTGGAAGGGGAACGAGAAGCAGTGGATTTTTTCTTCAAGCATTAGGAAATCAAAGCTTTGTCAAGGAAAACATAAAAGCCGGAGCAGTGAGAATCAACATAATTAGCCCAATTAGAGTCAAGGAAAGCCAAGTGAATGGCAGAGAGGTAGAAGAAAACGACAGCTGAGTAGCTCTAACAGCGAGTATACAAGCATCCAAAACAATCATAACAGTGCGAGAGGAAAAATAATGAAAAGGAAATTTCATTGCCCTAGTACCATAATACAATTCATGAAAATAGTGATTTGTCTTGTTAATTTTAATGTGAGATATATTTATATAAGAAAAAAATATATTAGAGAATAAAATAAATATATATAAAAATAAAAAAATAAAAGAGTTATAACCACTTTAATTATACAGAATAATATATATAATTAAAAATTTAATATTGTCCTATGTTAATATATATGCACCCACACTCAAGAAATAATACAAGAAGAATGACAATAAATTTTTAAAATAGAGAATTTATGATACTTATGTTTCTGATAAAATTTTTAAGAAAATAAATCATAAATATTGATTTAGATAATTGTAAACAGGTTTCCGGTTGTAAATTGAGAATTTAAATATCTTATTTAATTACAATTAAAAATTTTAAATTTGCAACTTTTTAAATTAATATTCATAACTAATTTTATAGAAAATTTTGTTAGGAATCAAATTGTAATGAATTCATTATTTTAATTTTAAATCTTAATATCATTCTCTCTCTTTTTTTTTACAACAAATTTTAAT